AACCAAAGGATGACATCATTCCCATATCAGCACACTGATAAAGTAAATAAACCTCTTACAATTCCCAAAACATTTATGACTCCGGGAACAATAGGAGGCAATGGGCATGAAAATGCCACCTTTGCTCAGACTACTTCCATTACTTGCAGGCAGTAAAGTACCAGAGGATAATGCTGCATGGGAGGTTTTGATGGAATTAAAAGAGGTGGTGGAATTAGCATTGTGCCCATCTTTTTACTGATGAAACCTTGGACTTATTTGTTTGCAAAATCAGTGACCACAGACAGATACTGCAAGAGGCTTTCCCTGAGTTTAGGCTTCGTCCTAAACATCACTATGTGGAGCATTATCCCACCTTAGTTAAGTGCTTTGGGCCCCTAGTGCATGTTTGGACCATGCAATTCGAGGCCAAACATCGCTGTCTTCAAAGAGAGTGGTGCATGCCGCTCAAAACTTCAAAAATGTTTTGAAGACACTAGCAATCAGACACCAACACATGATGCATATCACCTTGGTGCACCATCATTTTTCAAGCCAAAAAACACAAACATCCAGGGTTGACTCTGTTTTGTTTCAGCTCTACCAGAAGTATTCAGTCTCACATTCGAGGACAAACAACTAGTGACACAGTCTACCATACATCAAAGTGACCATTGATGGCATAGACTATACCAGTGACAACGTTCTGTGTCAGTTGGAGTCAGTGGGGGGCTATCTAAATTTTTCAGACTAGCACAGATCTATTACCTTTGTGAATCACAATGCTTTTTTTCTCTGTAGTTGATTATGACTCCTGTATGGTAGAACATCTTCGGGTCCGTACAAAGGCTGTCAGCCACACAGGCAAGCCTGTGTATTCACCTGCAATCTGAATTCAATGATACAGTCCCACTCTCTGCATACAAGATAGATGGCTTGCTGCTGTTGACTGCCAAGAGGTTCGTACACGTGAGACAGGATTAAGACCACTCTATGAGAAGTAATTCTTCATAAATCAATAATTGTACCTTTATTAAAAATGTGCTCAGTATAATCAGTCAGTATATACATGCATATACATAATCTGTATATTGGAATTGAATTCTTTGGTAACACATTCTATGAAGGACAAGTCTATAATGCATTATAAGCACATTCATATAACTAATAGCTAATGTTATGGTAGTTATAATGTACGGTGTAACCCAGGTCTAAGAATCTTTTTTCAAACAGTGTCACTTTGGCATGGAGGTATAAAGCATTGTGAATGCTGAACTTACAATACATTATGTCCACCATGTTGATAATTCATAATACCTTCATAATACCTTCATAATGCCTTCTGAATGTTCTTAGAATGCATTTTAGACACAACCTTCATAGAAAGTGTCACCCAATCTTTTAACCTCTCAAATTTCTCTTCATTTATTAGAGCAATGGCCGCTGAAGCCCCACAAAACATGATCCTTCGTGTCAGTGAGGTGGACCGCACTAGAAAATTAAAACTCGGCTCTCGTCCAGTCTCTGTTGATGCACTGATTAAGATGGTAAGGTGGTAAGTCCCAGTAAATAAGTATCAGGCCCATTGTACTAACCCATTCATATTTTCATTTTCATTTATTTATGTATGAGGACAACACACATTAATATTTCTGTAAATGTGTCAGTGTTTCAATTTCAAACCTTGGGCGAGATGTTTTGAAACCTGAAGTGTCTTTGTGCCCACAAGGGCATTTTTTGTAAATAATCAACAGTCACTGCAAAGAAAATCAAATGGCCATCATTATCCTAGCAGTGGCACACTTAAAAGTCATCTTGCCTTCTCAGAAATAGAGAGCACAAAGCAGCAGAATGAACAGGGGTCTATAAGACTTGTGTACTCAGTGTTTTTGTTTTTATGACAATCACTGTTAACAATATTGCCACAGTCTTACTGTTTTTTTTAGGTAGATGTGATTAGTGTGTGATCTCCCTTTCATTCTTTCAGGATGATATGGATGCACCAGATCTGGGGGATGCATCAGTGGCCTTCCTTACAACCGTGAGCAACAATGCCACAAGTCCAGTTCACTACCACCCAGTGAAAATTGTTTTGGGAAGAAATTTTACTCAGAAGAGAAAATTCTTCATTGATACATTTTCGTGACTGAATAAACAAACTGTCCTCAAAGGACTATTTTAAGTAGCCACCTCTCCAGCTTCAGTGTTCAGGGGACTTTTTTCCCACAGAAGGACAGCTTTGTTTATTCAATCATGAAAATATATCAAATAAATATTAGAAAGGGAATATTAACATATTAAGATAATGACAACTTTGTGAGTTTGAATAATTTCCATTACTACATAGTGCTTCTTAAAGTTTAAACCTGATGGCCAGAAGTAGGCTTCACACTGCTTTTGTACATAATAATGTACAGATTTGACATTTTTATACTTTTAGATTCATGAAGAGTTAATAGCAATTTATGTTTAAGTTGATGCACTACAGGTTTACAACCAGATGGCCCATTGCAAATTTTAATGTATATTTTATTTTATTTTTTTATTTCTTTCAAATATTTGTTTCAGATTGTGCTAAAAGACAGTGGGCAATAAAAAAGGTTCTACTCAACATTTGAACAGAAAAAAATATTGACTTGTAATCTGATTTTTTGATTTTTTTTAAGTTAAGAGTACTCAATGTATTTAAGGCAATCTAGGGGTGTCACGTAGCGCAGTGGGTTACGCGGGCGCACCATATATAGATGCTACAGTCCTCCCTGCAGCTGGCCCCCGGTTCGACACCCGCTTCGGACGGCCCTTTCCTGTGTGTCATTCCCCCTCTCTCTGCCTCCCCATTTCCTTTCTCTCTACTGTCCTGTCCATTAAAGGCACAAAAAGCCCCCCAAAAAAAATAATTAAGGCAATCTGTTGCCACAAATATTTTAAGTTTGGAGGTAAATGATTTTGAGTTTTATTAAGTCAATGTTTTTGAGTTATGGTTAATCAAAAGATTGAAGGAAGAAACTAATAAATGTTAAGTTTATTGAACATGAAATACTGAGTTTTCATACTTAAAATTATTAAGTTCTGTTAAGTTAATGCAATGAGAAAGATGAATGATTATTCTGAGTAGCATGTACTGAAAATATTTCAGTTGGCTTAATCAGTATTTTAATTTAAATATATTCAAAAAGTACATGTAACATAACTCTAAATATTTAAGCTCTGATTTACTCAAACTTTTGAGTTTTTGAACTCAAAAAAATTGTGGCAACTGATTGCCTCAATTTTTTTGAGTTCTGCTTACTTATTCGGGTTTACATTGTAGTAAAATCTCCTTAAATACTGAGTGAACTCAAAATCAACCTCAAACGAAGAAGGAAGCTCACTGGAGGAAAGTTACACTTTTGGAATATCCACTTCATAAAAAAGTCACGCCTAAAACTTGGCTGAGATTTCCGGCACATTTCGGACTTTGATATGTTTCTTGAACTTTTTGGCTTGTCCTCAGTTTTTCCTTTTTGCTATTGTCCTTCAATATTTTCATGTAACTGCTCCCCGAACCTCATTGTCTAGTTATTTTACCTTGTCTAGATGTTCAGATTTTTACCCAAGCCTCACTGATCAGTTTGCATTGCAAATCTCTTTTGGGTCAGATCAGTTGCTATGGCATTGGCCCTGGTTGATATACGAGACAATCAGATGTAAGGATAAAGATAACATTAGCACTAAGGAAACAGTGCTAACGATAGATTGTAAGGAAATAGTTCTTGTTGTTAGATTAAATGTTCCTGAGGAAAACCATGTGAAAGATGTCCTGCCCATAGAGAGAGGTAAACTGAAGTTCACTCATGTTGCGGCCATTGTAACTTGTGTTTCAGTTTTTGTGTTTTGAGTGACACTGACCGTGTCCAACCTGAAGAGAATCTCACTGTACTGAGTAAAGTCAAAATCAGCTTCAAACAAAGCAGAAAGAAGCTGATTGGAGGAAAGTTACTTACTTTCTGCCACATTTTGGACTTAGACATGTTTCCTTAACTTTTGCAGTTCTGCCTTCGTTTTACTTTTTGGCTCATATTAAGCCCTTCCTGCATTGTGTTTCTAAAGTAAATAGTCCAAGGGTGCATGGCTCACAGTAGCAATACTGCTTGTATTTCTTCACATTTTTATGCCTCCACGACAGTCAGAGACTCTGGCATTATGTTTTATGATATTTCAGTAGGGTAAGTAATTGCCTCATATTTGGCACAAACATTCATTTGGACTCAAGCGTGAAGAGATTAGATTTTGGCGGTCAAAGGTCACCTTGTCCTCACAAAACATGTTTTCGGCCTTGTGAAAGCATTATCTCAGGAGCTCTTCAAGGGAATTCTTTCATATTTGAACTTGATTTTGGTGGTCAAAGGTCAAGGTCAGTGTGACTGCACAAAACACCTTTTGGCCATAACTCAAGACTTCACACAGCAATTATGACAAAATTTCATAGAAATGCTTAATATTTTCTATAACTCTGGGTAAACAGGGATTTAACCTGAAACTAGTGTGAGTGGAGGAGGCAGACAAGCATAAGGCAGTAATTCTAGTTCCTCATGTTCCTTTTGTTGTAACTGCTCACCAATCCTCATCATCTTACATAGTAATTATATAGTAAATACTTAGTAATTATGTAGTAATGTGAAGAATTTTTTTTATATATTAATACTCACAAACATGTTATCTTCTGATGCATTAGTAATGACCCACCTGTCTTACCCTGTATCTGCACTATATTACTTACAAACAAATCCATATAATTACTGACCAACCCTCTTTATTCTGCTTCAATTTTAATCAGTAAAGACCCAATATTTTACAGTAATTATACTACTACAACTTGTCATTATACTGATTTTACTGATTTTACTTGGCAATTTCTTCACACTACGTAATTACTACATAATTAATGGCCTTTAAATCAAAGGCTTACCAAATTCATATGTTTTATTAAAAAAACTGAAATTGTTGTACATCATTAAATCTTTGTATTTTCTATCTTTCAGGAAAACCCAGGTTGCACTTGAACATCACTGCTTAGCTACTGAAGAACTCATTAAAAATGGGGAACACACCATCAGAAAGTAACATGGGCGACCAGCTCAGATGCTACAAGTGTGATAAAGTCCTGCCCCCATGCATCTCCTTCTCAGATTTATACCAAACTACTATTTACGGGAAGCGTGTACATGTTTTCAATGGAGGACAATACTTCAGACCAGTAGGCAACAACATTTTATACAAGTGTAACGATTGTTTTTATAAGCCAAGCAGAGATGAAGAAGAGAGAAGGAGAGAGGCGGAGAGGAGAAGAGAGGAGGAGAGGAGATGTGAAGAACTGAATCAAAGACTCGAAGAATCACACCAGCAAGCTCAAGAGCAGCACGAGAATCAACTGAGCACAGACATTACGGAAGAACACAAGTCCAAGCAACATGTTCTGATAAGCCATCTGGATGAGTTTGATGCAAACTATGAATCAGACAGTGATGAGCTTCTAGAAACCCTCTCATTAAAATGCAGCATCCCTATTCCAAGCCTCAGTCTCGCTGAGCTGACTGCTGATCAGCTGGAGAGCATCCTTTCAGCTCTGGACGAACTCCTGTTTGATGAATGGATCAGTGCTCCTCCATCGCTCAGCACTCTGCAGCACACACAAGTGTTCATCATAGAGCTGTGTGTCCTGTCTCTGGATATGTCTGAGGGACTTTCCCTGCACAGCATCTCCAATCATGTGCAGTCCCTGGTGGGGTCCGTCAGCCAATCAGCATGCAATGTTTCTGAGAGTTTCCTGCTGACTCAAGCCCTGCACCTGAATCTGATGCACTTCTTTACTGACTGTGGCAGCTGTGAGCCAGATGCAGCTCTCATAGCCAAACGATGGGCCGAGGGGAACCTTTCCACTGAGAATCTCTTTCTTATAGGATTCCTCGGCACACTCGTGTCATCGCTACAGAGTGTGGTTGGAAGAGCCTCCATGTCCATTTTAAATATGGAAATCCAGAGCTTGAAGCTTCTCCTTTTCATACTCAAAGATCTAAATGGCAAAGAAAGCCACTCAGAATCCACTGAAATGCTCCTCAGACTTGTGCAAATAAACCAATGGACACCAACAGAGGCAGTGACTCTGCTCAAAATGCTGTCAGAGAAATATACAAAGGATGCTCCAATAACTGAAGTGCTCACGTTGATACAAGTGTATGACGTATCACCAGACTGGACAGATGACTCCGGACACTCTCTCATTCAGGTTCTGGACTTCATTGGACCTGAGAGAATCCAACTTGATTTTCAAAAGACTCTCAGAAAGCAAGATGAGCGTGGTCTAGATTCAGCTCTAGCAGAATTAAAAGGGTTCAGGAATTTGGAGGATTCTGTCATCAATATGATAAAAATCATCACGAGTGGCGTCCTGCAATATTCAGAAAATGCCCCAAAAGATAAACCATTCATGAAAGACTCCTTTAAATGTGCAAACCTGAATGCAGATGACATCCAAAACTCTTTGTTTCAGCTCTGTAAAGCAGTTTCTGACACAAAAGGCTGGTGGCCAACAGTGCAGCAGATGCTGCGGTGGTGTGTGTTGGTGCTGACTGAGAAGAGTGTGCCAATAGAATTGGTCAGTGTGGAAGAAGACCCGTGTGTCACAGCCATGTTGGCAGCCACACAAGTCTGCATGGGAAACAAAGTGGACATTGTGCTGAGGTCTGACGAGCAAGCTAAGGAGTGGTCTGACTTCTACAAGCATCTCGGGATTTCTCTCAACACAAACATGAAAAAAACCAATGCATCACACAGAGATGTCTATGAAGCAGACATTGTGTACGGTACCATGGATGACTTTGTCTCTGATTACTTCCAATATGGCTTAGAGGTGATGGAAACAGGGAATCCACACCTTAGCCGAGGGTTTATCATTGAAGAAGATAGTCTCAGTGCTTCTCATAATCTGGATCTCTCAAGGCTCAAGCAAAACGACACTTTGGTATTTGCTGCTAAGATCCTGCAAACCCTCTTGGGTAATTTTCACAGTGAGGATATGGAACTGAGACACAGGTTCATTAAGGCTCTTTTTCAGGTGCTCCACAATAACCTAAACAAACACACAGACGCGGACAGTAAACTCATAACCATCTTACAAAAATGTACTGGTAAAGAACTGCCTTCCAACGAGGTCTACATTCTGACCATTCTTGAGAATCTCCTTCAAGAGTTTACTGGAGAAACAGACAGTGAGATAAACAAGGCATCTCTGGGAGGCCAGTTGTTGTGGGAGAGTTTATTTGCCTGTGTAGAGCAATGCCAATCCTCAAAAGAACAAACCAAAGAACTCTTCCAGATGATGTCAAACACTGTAGCACAACAACTTTGGCCACCGAGAGAAGCTTTAAACCTCCTTGAAGCATTAACTGACCACCATCATGATGAAGACTGTGTTTCAATCATGAAGATTTTACACCTGATAGGAACATATCAGGTTTCTTCTAAGTGGACAGATGAGAAGAATCGGTCTCTTCTTGAGCTCTTGAACTCATCTGAAACCGAGAATCTGATCCAACTTTTAGAAAAAAGCTTCAGAGATGAGACAGAAAAAAGCACTGACTGTCTTTTTGATGAAATACGGCACATGAAAAATATTGATGAGCAAACACTGGAGAAATCATACTGTATAGTAAAGACTGTTAAGAACCTGATTGAATCTGGTGAAATTAAAAACCACACGGATGTGCAGCAAGCAAGGAATCTAAGTCATAGTACAGACATAGTAGACCTTCAGGAGATCCTGGCAGTCTTATGCAATGCTGTACACTTGCACAAGGCTGAAGGAAAGTGGTGGCCCAGAGCCACTCAGATGATAAGCTGGTGTCTCTTGGCCATGTCTGAGACTGGAAAGCTCCTGGAGATGGGAACTGGAGAGGGGAAGTCTTGTGTCATAGCAATGTTTGCAGCACTGCGTGCGCTCCAGGGAGAAAAGGTAGATGTGGTGTCCAGCTCCTCTGTGTTATGTCAAAGAGATGCAGAAGAGTGGACCAACTTCTACAAATACTTTCACCTCACAGTCGACTCAAACACAAATAAAAACGAAGATAAAGGTAGAAAAGAGTGCTACCAGAAGGACGTGGTCTATGGGACAATTGAAGCCTTTGCTGCAGATCACCTTCGCCAGATATTTGAGATGAAAGATGTGAGGACCGATCGCAGCTACCAGTGCATCATAATTGATGAGGTGGACTCACTGCTGCTGGATCATGGAGTGCAGCTGACCTACCTCTCCAGCCCCATGGTTTCCATGCAGCACCTGAACATTATTCTGGCCATGATCTGGGGCCATGTCAGCCAGTACGGCTTCCTGTCAACAGGACACCAGACATTCGTACAAGGTCCCCCTGCTTCATTCTTCAAGGCCATATTTGACTCAATTGACACAGAAGGAATTGATGACCCCATGGATGTTTTATGTATTGCTGAGGAATTAAAGATTGTGCCAGAAGGATTTGCAGAGGATTTATACAAAAGTGAAAAAGATGAAGTACTCAGGAAACTGAAAACTGTGAGTCAAGATGCAGTGGTAGATTTTTTCCACAAAACTGAGCACTATGTCCCCTATGGTTTCACTCTATACACTCTAGATGACAATGGATTGCTCTGTCTGAGAAAGGCCAGTCCATCCAACAACCAGGACATTCCAGACCTCAAGTTTCTTGTTTTGGATGAAGGCTTGTGTTGTCCTCTCTCTGACTCTGAGGACATTCTTATCAAACCCATTGCAGGATTCATCTCAGAGAGGATTCAGTACACACCTTGCACAAACAATAAAGACAAAATCAGCATCCCTGGGTTCCTGAGAAATCTGATAGAGAAGAAATTGTCAGTGTGGGTTCAGAACGCCTTTCTGGCAATTAAGCTGAGGCAAGGACAGGAGTACGTTGTAGAAAACGAGAGAGTGTGTCCAGTGGACTTCAGATCCACTGGTATTGTAGAACTGAGTAAGACGTGGGGTGATGGTCTGCAGCAGTTTCTTGAGATTAAACACCAAATCAAACTGAGCACCATTTCAACAGTGACAAACTACATTTCTAACATTTCCTTTTTTGAAAAATACCATTGGAAAATATATGGAACCACAGGGACACTTGGGAGCGAAAAAGACATGCTGTTCTTGCAGGACCTATATCCATATCTCTCGGCCTGCAAAATGCCGACTTTCAACCGGAGGAAATTATTTGAGGTCAAAGGTATTCTTAAGACTTCAACTGCAGAGTGGAAATCTGAAATAAAAGATGTGGTTATGGCTCAAATTTCCCCAAGTCCATACAGAGAGGGAAGAGCAGCCTTGGTGATCTGTGAAACCATCAACAAAGCCAGAGAGATCTATGAAGAGCTGAAAAGCATCATCCCAGGTGAAATCATTCTCTATAGCCGCAGTGACAGAGATAGTTTGAGCAAAATAGATAAGACATTGGATCCTGGTGATGTCATTGTTGCCACAAACCTTGCTGGGCGTGGCACAGACATAAAAGTCTCAGAAAAGGTGAACAACAATGGGGGATTATTTGTGATCCTCTCCTTCCTTTCCGAGAACACGAGAGTGGAGCTCCAGGCATTTGGCCGAACTGCACGCAAAGGTAAACCTGGATCTGCGCAGGTGATCATGACCACTGATTGTCTGCAGGAGTGCTTCAGAACAGTGTCTTCTCTGGAGGAGGCAAAGGAAACTAGGGATAGACTCTCAGCAGAGACTATGAATGACATGATGAACGATGTCACTGAGATGAAACTGCGGGAGGACCTGTTTTCAGAGTACTGCAGGACCCTGCAGTATATTTACAGGAACACAGATGGAGATGAACGAGGCGCTGTTGTTGGCATCATGAATGAGTTCTGGGGGATGTGGTTGCAAACTAAATCAGAAGAAATTGACCAGTTGGAAAGATATGACTTGCAAAAATGCTTAAAAGCTGATTTGTCACTGGCAAAAAGACAATCTTACCGTCAGACTTCACCATGTTCCAGCATTTACCACTACATCAAGTTTGGGAATATCACACTGGATCAAAACCAATGGGGTCGCAGCATGATTCTATTTGAAAAAGCTATGGAACAAGATGAAAGCTGGGCAGCCATAGCTTTTTACAGTCATGCATACTGCACTATAAAGCAGCAGAGGAGAGATTACCTCACTAGGGCTAGAGATGACCTCAGGAAAGCACAGGAGTCTCTGAAGTACCTGAGTGAGGAGTGCGTTCTCTGCCTGCAGTTTGTAAAAATGTCCTCTGCGACCAACCGTCAACTCAACCCAACCAGCCTCGAAAAACAGTTAACAGCCAAGTGCAACATGTTCAGTTACTTTGACGAAAACATTAGTGAGGCTATCAAAAAGCTGGAGGAGATAAAAGACAAAGAGAGGGATGCAAAAGCCAATAAATCACCAATGTTCTCCCTGGTGTCAGGCGCCAATGAAGATCTCCAAGTGGAGGCCTACAATCTGTACAGTCGAGGCCTGAAATACATCTTTTCTGTCGAAGAAGAGCCTCGTTTCCCATGGGAAAGTCTGCTGGTGCTCTGTCTCGGAGTTCTGCAGATTATTGGAGGGGTACTGATCACTGCATTTACTTGTGGAATATTAGTTCAAGTTGGTTTTGGTCTGATCACTGAAGGGATATCAGACTGCATCACCGGCATCGAGTCCATGGTGACAGGAAATTTCAGTTGGAAATCATGGGCTATAGATAAAGCCATTTCTATTGGCTTATCTCTCATTGGGTTTGGAGTTGGAAAGGTGATTGCAAAAGGCTTCAAAGCCTCTAAGGTGTTGATTAATGCATTTGGCAAACAACTGAAGTTGATGCCAAAGGTTCTCTCCACACAGGCTAAAAATGGCATCAGTGTTGTTGCAAAAACAAATATGAAGAATGCAGTGAAACACAGTGCAAAACAAATGGCAGAAGAACTCATTACCTATGGATTGGGGAAGGCAGAAAATGCATTACTGAATGAAATACTAAATGGCATAAAGAATGAAGTGAGAAAGAGAATTGTAGATGATGTGAAATCCAACATGGAAAAAGAGCCCTTGGCTGCAGTAGTAGACTCTGTTATTCTCTCACACCTTGAGGATAAACAACAGTTCTCCGATCTCCTGCTGGACAAGGAGAGAAAGAGCAAACTTCTGGCCGTTTTCAGTAAATTAAGCAACACTGCATTGCAGCCGTTCTATGCTGACCTCAGCTGGCAGAAACAGCTTAACTCATCCATCAGCACAGTGCTTGACAGCGCTAAATCAGACACCTCTGGCAAAACAAGTAGAATACTGACAGCCATCCAAGCCGTTCACATGGGGGCGCTGGCAGCAGATGCCATCAGTACAGTGCTCAGCCTCTTAAACAAGTTTCTCTCAAACCTTCATGAAGAGCTGAATAAATTTAAAAAGGACGTACATTTCTCAGAGAAAGTGAAGCGGAATAAACTGTCTGCTTCAGAAACTGAGACACTGAAGGAATTCAAGGGGGATTTAGCTGACACCATCAGTGCTTCATTAGCTGATGCTTTGGTAGTAGTGTTCCATCAAAAGCTCTCCAGTCACTTTGTTTCTTATGCCCAAGACCGAGTAAATGGCGTCATAGGCAGTTATGTAAGAACTGGCTTAAAGAGTGACAAAACAGAGGAAGAACTCCTAGCTGGACAAAACAGCAGATACACTCCACACATGTCAGGAGACAAAAATACACTTGCAGCGGAGTCAGTCAAACACTCACTGTCACAAGCTGAAAAGATCAGGAACCCCATGACATCAGGTACCATTCTGGATATCAGAGTGCTGTCAGAAACCACTGGCACTAAGGTTGTCATTCTAACAGAGGACAGCCATGGCAAGCTTACCAAAATGCAGGAGCTGAACCCAGGCACTAAACCTGCCAGTCAAAATGTGACACTGGTCTACAGACCAAAGAGTTCCCAATACCCAGAGGGCTATTACAATGTGCGCATCAATAATCAGACAGTGATTGTAATCAACGAAGGCAAGAGCTGCCTGTTTCACGCTTTAGCCCGAGGCATGAACCCAGAGGCCAGTGAAAAAGAGATCACCTTGGAAGCAGGTCGTCTCCGAACTGTGGAGGCTGATGCTCTCCTGAGATGCCCGGACCAATGGGAACACTTCGTCAAGATCCAAGAGTGGATGGACGCAATCATAGGAAAGGACTGGTTCATGGTAGAGGGAGCTATACCAAAAAAAATTGTACAAGAACGCAAAGAGGTGCTCAAGAAAGAGGTTAGAAAAGAAAAATATTACACAAATTGGAGAAAACACAGCCAAAACAAGCCTGACATTGGACAATTCATCAATGCGCATCACCAACCACCAGTGAGTAGTATATTGGACGCTAGAAAATTCAACAAGAGCAGCAAATTAGCTGAAGCCATGCATGAAGTGGCAATAGACTCACGTCTTCTGGATACCCAACTGATGTATAATGTGAAATCACATCATGGCCCTGGACTTCTAACTGAAAGTTTTCAGTTTCAGTTTTCCAGTACAAAAAAACAAAACTTCCAGGACTTACTGGCTGCCACAATAAGCCAGGACAATGCTGTGGGCACCTTCAAACTGACCATTGTAGGTGCAATGCCCAGATTCAGATTAAATAGTTCCAAATACATACAAGTGAGTAAAACCAGGCTCAACATTTTTGAACAAAATTATCAGAATCATTCTAAAGCTTTGGTCCAGGAATGGTTTGACCAGCTCCAAGGCAAGGGTGTCATGACAAATGCTGATCTCAGCACCCTTAATGCATGGATCGACAACCAGGGCTACAAGAATAAAAGCGATCCGCACAGGAACCAAGTCTCCAATCTCCTGTAATGCAAAGGTAACATGACATTTAATATAAAACAGCAGTTTGTAGAATGAGAATTGTTAACAATGTCCTAGTCATGACTCATGCCTTTGGCGCGAGGCCCAAACTGATGAGGGAACATTAGGTTCACCCTCACCATGGAAAAATATAGGCTGAGGGCACCAGGCACCTGCAGGGCTGTCAGCTTCAGTGGGTGGGATTAAAAATGTAGCTCAATTCAAGTTGGAGAAGTTGCGGAATACAAACTTTTTAGTGTTCTTCTATGACAACAACCTGTTTTGGTTGTTAAAAAAACAAGTAAATTAAAAATACATTTTCCTCTCAGGGGTTGTTTATATGGAAGAAAATAAAAATTGGAAAAATGATCCTGGAAAAAAAATCACTTGTCTTTCACGGTTTCCATAATTATGATTAGCAGTTGATCTGAGTGAAAGATTTATCAATCTGTGCTCTGTTTGCAGTGGGATATTGACACCTGACAATGTGGTTGGCGAAGACCTACAAGGAAAACTGAGATTGCTATTGAAAAAGCTATTTCAAAGTTCATATTGTTTTACTTATCTTTAATGTCTTACCTTAACTTTATTCAGGATATTCTAATCATTTGCTTGCTCGATATGGTGGGGGGGTGGATTCTCAGTTTTCCTTGTAGGTCTTCGCCAACCCATTGTCAGGTGTCAATATCCCACTGCAAACAGAGCACAGATTGATAAATCTTTCACTCAGATCAACTGCTAATCATAATTATGGAAACCGTGAAAGACAAGTGATTTTTTTCCAGGATCATTTTTCCAATTTTTATTTTCTTCCATATAAACAACCCCTGAGAGGAAAATGTATTTTTAATTTACTTGTTTTTTTAACAACCAAAACAGGTTGTTGTCATAGAAGAACACTAAAAAGTTTGTATTCCGCAACTTCTCCAACTTGAATTGAGCTACATTTTTAATCCCACCCACTGAACTGACAGCCCTGCAGGTGCCTGGTGCCCTCAGCCTATATTTTTCCATGTGAGGGTGAACCTAATGTTCCCTCATCAGTTTGGGCCCTGCGCCAAAGGGCATGAGTCATGACTAGGACATTGTTAACAATTCTCATTCTACAAACTGCTGTTTTATATTAAATGTCATGTTACCTTTGCATTACAGGAGATTGGAGACTTGGTTCCTGTGCGGATCGCTTTTATTCTTGTAGCCCTGGTTGTCGATCCATGCATTAAGGGTGCTGAGATCAGCATTTGTCATGACACCCTTGCCTTGGAGCTGGTCAAACCATTCCTGGACCAAAGCTTTAGAATGATTCTGATAATTTTGTTTCAAAAAATGTTGAGCCTGGTTTACTCACTTGTATGTATTTGGAACTATTTAATCTGAATCTGGGCATTGCACCTACAATGGTCCAGTTTGAAGGTGCCCACAGCATTGTCCTGGCTTATTGTGGCAGCCAGTAAGTCCTGGAAGTTTTGTTTTTTTGTACTGGAAAACTGAAACTGAAAACTTTCAGTTAGAAGTCCAGGGCCATGATGTGATTTCACAATTATACATCAGTTGGGTATCCAGAAGACGTGAGTCTATTGCCACTTCATGCATGGCTTCAGCTAATTTGCTGCTCTTTTTGAATTTTCTAGCGTCCCAATATACTACTCACTGGTGGTTGGTGATGCGCATTGATGAATTGTCCAATGTCAGGCTTGTTTTGGCTGTGTTTTTCTCAATTTGTGTAATATTTTTCTTTTCTAACCTCTTTCTTGAGCACCTCTTTTGCGTTCTTGTACAATTTTTTTGGTATAGCTCCCTCTACCATGAACCAGTCCTTTCCTATGATTGCGTCCATCCACTCTTGGATTTGACGAAGTGTTCCCATTGGTCCGGGCATCTCAGGAGAGCATCAGCCTCCACAGTTCGGAGACGACCTGCTTCCAAGGTGATCTCTTTTTCACTGGCCTCTGGGTTCATGCCTCGGGCTAAAGCGTGAAACAGGCAGCTCTTGCCTTCGTTGATTACAATCACTGTCTGATTATTGATGCGCACATTGTAATAGCCCCTGGGTATTGGGAACTTTTGGTCTGTAGACCAGTGTCACATTTTGACTGGCAGGTTTAGTGCCTGGGTTCAGCTCCTGCATTTTGGTAAGCTTGCCATGGCTGTCCTCTGTTAGAATGACAACCTTAGTGCAGTGGTTTCTGACAGCACTCTGATATCCAGAATGGTACCTGATGTCATGGGTTCCTGATCTTTTCATTGTGACAGTGAGTGTTTGCTGACTCCGCTGCAAGTGTATTTTTGTCTCCTGACATGTGTGGAGTGTATCTGCTGTTTTGTCCAGCTAGGAGTTCTTCCTCTGTTTTGTCACTCTTTAAGCCAGTTCTTACATAACTGCCTATGACGCCATTTACTCGGTCTTGGGCATAAGAAACAAAGTGACTGGAGAGCTTTTGATGGAAACACTACTACCAAAGCATCAGCTAATGAAGCACTGATGGTGTCAGCTAAATCCCCCTTGAATTCCTTCAGTGTCTCAGTTTCTGAAGCAGACAGTTTATTCCGCTTCACTTTCTCTGAGAATGTACGTCCTTTTTAAATTTATTCAGCTCTTCATGAAGGTTTGAGAGAAACTTGTTTAAGAGGCTGAGCACTGTACTGATGGCATCTGCTGCCACGCGCCCCATGTGAACGGCTTGGATGGCTGTCAGTATTCTACTTGTTTTTGCCAGAGGTGTCTGATTTAGCGCTGTCAGCACTGTGCTGATGGATGAGTTAAGCTGTTTCTGCCAGCTGAGGTCAGCATAGAACGGCTGCAATGCAGTGTTTGCTTAATTTACTGAAAACGGCCAGAAGTTTGCTCTTTCTCTCCTTGTCCAGCAGGAGATCGGAAGACTGTTGTTTATCCTCAAGGTGTGAGAGAATAACAGAGTCTACTACTGCAGCCAAGGGCTCTTTTTCCATGTTGGATTTCACATCATCTACAATTCTTCTTCTCACTTCATTCTTTATGCCATTTAGTATTTCATTCAGTAATGCATTTTCTGCCTTCCCCAATCCATAGGTAATGAGTTCTTCTGCATTTGTTTTGCACTGTGTTTCACTGCATTCTTCATATTTGTTTTTGCAACAACACTGATGCCATTTTAGCCTGTGTGGAGAGAACCTTTGGCATCAACTTCAGTTGTTTGCAAATGCATTAATCAACACCTTAGAGGCTTTGAAGCCTTTTGCAATCACCTTTCCAACTCCAAACCAATGAGAGATAAGCCAATAGAAATGGCTTTATCTATAGCCCATGATTTCCAACTGAAATTTCCTGTCACCATGGACTCGATGCCGGTGATCGCAGTCTGATATCCCTTCAGTGATCAGACCAAAACCAACTTGAACTAAATTCCACAAGTAAATGCAGTGATCAGTACCCTCCAATAATCTGCAGAACTTCCGAGACAGAGCACCAGCAGACTTTCCCATGGGAAACGAGGCTCTTCTTCGAAACCAACAT